CTGTTTTCTTGTCTTCCTTCCCTCCTGCAGTGGTAGTACTATTCCTTATCAAACTGATGGTCTCAGAGGCTTTCCTTCTGGGTTATCCTTACTACCACATTTTCTTTTCTTAGAAATCATATGGGAGAAACTCACTGCAGCCTTCTATAGAAGATACTGTTACCCTACCACTAGCTTATCGTTCTTGTGGTGCGGGTTATAAATGTGCCAGCATGAAAGAGTAGTCAAAAGCATGTTCAAGATGAATTTGGTTTATACCTGAATTGGGCAGCATCACCTCAAATGTCTGTTACGTGACTTTCTGGACCAACTTCTTCTCATGTCTCTCACTAACGGGCAAGTCTTCGTACAGATCAAAAGGCACACAACACTTCCATATAGCTAATGACAACGTTTTAGAAATACTTGACCTTTGTTACCAATGTGACTGCTTCAGCTCAGACCCATAAGTATACTTTTGTTCTTCCTGAAATAACTTGAAAGTTATGATCAAGGAGGTGTGTTATAGATTTTTTTTGGGTTGGAAGGGACCTCAAGTAGATCATAGAGTCTGAGCCCCTGCCCAGGGCAGGAAAGCGTGCTGGGGTCAGATGCCCCCAGCCAGGTGTTTGTCCAGTCTTCTCTTAAAAAAAGAGCTCCAAGATAGGGGAAAGCACCACCTCCCTTGGAAGCCCATTCCAGATCCTGGTGACCCTTACCGTGAAGTTCTTCCTGATGTCTAGCCTAAATCTGCTCTCTGTCAGTTTGTGGCCATTGTTTCTAGTTACTCCAAGGGACAACCTGGTAAACAGAGCATCTCCTACCCCTTTCTGCCCCCTACAAACAAATGTATAGACAGACACTAGATCACCTCTCAGCCTTCTCTTATGGAGGCTGAAGAGATCCAGGTTCCTCAATCTCTCCTTGCAGGATCTTAACCATATGAGTGGCCCTCCTCTGGACCCTCTCAAGGTTATCCACATCCCTCTTGCAGTGAGGCACCCAAAACTGGATGCAGTACTCCAGCTGCAGCCTTACCAATGCTGCATAGAAGGGAAGTATCACCTCCTTAGATTTGCTTGTAATGCACCTGTTAATGCATGATAGAGTACAGTTAGCAATATTGATCACATTGTTGACTCATGTTCATCTTTGGGTCAACTATGACTCCGAGATCCCTTTCCTCTGCTGTGCTGCTTAGAAGGTCATCTCCCAATCTGTGTGTTGGTGATTCCTTCTCCCTAGGTGTCTGATTGGGGTAGAAATTTTATTCCCAGAAATTATCATGCACCAAGTCCTCCATTCTGTTTCCTGAACTAGCTACCATCACAAATCTAACAAGTTTACTGAGCAGTCAGGAAGATGGGAAGAATGAGAAATAAAAGTATTTTCTCATTTCTAGCCAGAAGAATTATTATTTGGAACACCAAAGGGGACATCTGTAGACAAGAATATGGCAACCCTGTAGTATTCAATGAAAGTGTTAGAGTTCAATGTTGCCATTTTTGTCTAGGGTGACTCATAACTGTTCAGCCTAAAAAGCTGTCATGGGATGAGTTGAGTGACCTCACACACTTCCAAAATCTTTATTCTTAGTTCAGTGCGATACAGTGCTGTATTCATCATCCTGTTTAGCTTGAGATATTTGGATGGAAAAAACAAACCAAGTATGCTTGTTTGTATGTGTGTTTATTGCATTTAAATGAGTGTGTGTACATGCATTATATGCGCCTTTAATGCTCTACAGACAAAAAATTGAGCCATGAAGCATTTTCTTGCCTGGAACCATAGACTTGATCAAGAGGAGATAGGCAGTTGCCTGTGAGAGGGAAACATACAAAAATCCCAACCCTGAAAGATTCAGGTTGTTTAAGCCTACCTTGTGATTAAAATGCAGTATTGTTCAACAGCATGATGGGCTTCGTAATATTAAAGGTTATCTGGCAGTTATGAAGCACACATATATTTGTGTACCTTTACTTTTGTTTGGTCTGGAAGGCTGTTTATAGAATCAGATATCAAATTATCTCTAAACTTACTGCATGTAACTGGTTTTTCTGTTAAACTGCAGCCACTCAGGAGGCAGAGAGCTATACTATTTTCTGTTGTTGTCATTACCACACTTCCAGCCAAACTGGTAGGTGCTACTGCCATAATATCCTGAAGTGCTATATCAGTGATGAGGCAAGAAGTTGGGTCTTGATGCTATAGTCTGAGATTCTGGATTGCCACAATTTCATTAGTGAGACTGGTGTCAATGTCTGGTAAATGCTATATTATGTGGTTAGGGATAAGACTGGACTTCTACCCTCACTGACCCTTCTTTCAGCAGAACAAGGGCAAAGTCCCAACTCACTTTTGGGAGTTGAAAAATAAGGCACTTTTGATGACTGTAAAGGTATAATTCCTGTGAGCTATCTATACTCTGTAGTTCTGCAAACATTACCTTCCTTACCCTTGTATATTCCACGGACCCAGCAACTGGCTTACATCCTTGAATCATGCTGAATATGAAACCACTGACCCCTAAAACCTATGCCAAATGCAACCCTCACACCCTTTATTGTATACAATACCTGTTGTGGATGCCAGGTTATGGACTATCAAATGGGGTATAAAAGGAACACCACAGGCTCTTTGATTATATGAAACAGGATCTTTATCTTCCTTAGAACAGGAAGTAATTTTGTGGTTAGTATATTAGACACTTGATGCAATTGCTGATAGACAGCAGCATTTTCTAGCCAGTGAAACAAGTCCTTTATTGCTTTATCTTTGCAGTAATCAGCATACCCCCCTCTGTCTTATTGAGAAGTTTGCTTAATTACTTTGTGATTTCACCAGGCTAACCTTAACTCCTCTTAAATTGCAAATAGGTTTCTTCTGGCTTCAGCATTAGATGAAGTGCTTGCTTACTGCTGGTCTGTTCTGGACTATTAATCTAAGACAGCTGCTAGGCCAGGGCAAGAATTTTGCTATTCTTGAGACATGGATGTGGAAGTGCTTGCTCTTGTTAGCAAGAGAAAGTCCATGTAAACAGGCATACCAATGCCTCTGTTACGTAGACCTGTGGATGTGTTATATAGTCCTGTAGTGTAGAAGAGATTACAAGACAAACATGATTACAGAATGCTCTCTGCAAAACATGAGGTAATGTATGTTGAGATGTATTCCTTTGGGGGGTGGGGTGGAGGAGCTATGAGAAAACACCCAGATGGGGTTGGGCCTTGGAGTCAATTCAGTCCAATAATTGCACATATAGGAGATTGACTAATTCTATTCAGATGGGTACGAACTGAGCATTAGAAATTAGATGAGAAGATCAGTCATTCATGATGGACCATATTAAAATCTTATTAGGGTCTTTGAGAAAAAAAATACAGAAGTCCGAATCTAAGGTTTGTCAATTCACTGTCAAAATAATATAGCATGTTTACTACTAAGAGAGATTTCCATTTAAATGTTTACCAGCTTCTAAAAGGGACAGTATTGCACATCCCCCTAGCTTGCAAAGATACACAAAATTGCATATATAATGTTTTTATTTTACAAAAAAGGCTGGTAAAAGAGATGATGTAAATAAAAGTGTAACGCGCCACTAAATAAAACTACATATCCCCAGTAAATACTTAAATAATTAAGAACACCATCTACAGTACCATAGAACCAACAAAATAATTCAGTTTTATCAGGGTCAAAAATACAGTGATTATGAATGTGCCTTGACCAGTTACAGAGCTTGTTAAGGTAATATAACTACTGTCAGCAGTCCAACAGCGTGCACAGTGCCTTCAATTAATGCATTTCAGCATAATTACATTTCTAGTGGGGTCCACTTCCCCAAGAAAAGGCAAAGCTAAGAATTTCATTTCTACATTCTAAACTCTGGAATTACAGAGCTCAGTTTAAAAAAAAAATCACAGTGGGTAAGAGATGCATATAAAAATACTGGGTGTTCCTTTCAAATCATGGGACTACATTCATATATTTGCTTTTACAAAATGCTATTGGTTTCAGCAGACTCCAGTTCATTTTATGCTACAGACTTTGATGTTTAACTATAAGTATATTGCAGGTTTGCATGTTTTGGTAGTCAGTCTCTTCCTTCCTTTCTTTTTTTAAATAGTCCCACTTCCTTAGGTGTAATGAATCATGAATATGCATCTAAATGCATTCACGCTCTTTTCTTGAACTCTGCAGACTACACAGACTGCAAGTCACATATTCTACTACCAATAGCCACAATTCCCATCCCCCCCCATTAGCTTTGTACACCTATTCTCATATAACAGTGCATTGCACAAATGTACAAGAAAAATACTGTTTTTACACTATACAGTTCCTAGAATATATACAGAATAAAATAAGTTAATTTTCTTCTAATGAGAGTTGCTGATGGGCAGCATATATCGTTAATATACATTTAAAGTCTCTGCAGGCAGCTACTTTTTGGTTAGTTGTTATCAATATTTGTAACATAAGCACTGATCAGAGAACTGAGCAGCATTCCAATAAAGTTAACAGATATATTATTTCTTTTAGAAATACTGGGGAATCCCAGTTTAAAATATTATTAAATGTCCTAACATTTACACACTATGAGGATTAGATCTAATAAAATATTTTTTTTTCAAAAATAATCTTGCAGTGTTCTTTTAGGCATGCTCAGAGACCTTATCAAACATCCATACCTTCAAAATGCAACTGTCATATAGCCATACATTCCAACTCTCACACAATTCCTTGTTACAGACAAAAAAGAGCAAATAAAACATTGAGAACTCAATGTTTTTTTTGCAAAGTCTTTATAGGTCCTCTTTCTGCTTGTGTTTTACTGCACATTCTTCATGACTTTGCAGTGTGTCATTAGGCATTAGCTGATGATTATATTTACTACTGCTGGAAAGTCAGGAAGCCTTGCAGGTCTTCAGCTAAAATTAAACCAGTCTTGATTTTAGCCTCATCCCACCTGCTTTAAATTGTCTCAACATCTGGAGGCAATTTCTGCAACACCATTTTCAATTCTGTTTCTACAGAGAATAATGCATGCCTTTGCATTACATTTAGCCCTTTTCCTTTCATGTAGTTTGTGAGATAAAAAACCCCAACAACTGCTGCCCACACCATGACCGTGTGGGGAAACAACAGTCAATAAGATGTTAACTCCATCAGTTTTTGGAACTTAAATTTTTTGATGAAATAATTTCTTGCTGTGGTAAAATTCTGCTGTCAGGTTTTTTTCCCCTCCTCTGTGAAAGGTGCTTGATAATATTCTGAGGCATCGTCAGCTTCAGTTCTTTTCCTAAATGACCACTGTTCAGAATCCAGTGCTTGCCATACTTCCCACTGGTTTGGCTTTTGCTAGGAGCTGATAAGATTGCACCATGCGCAGAGACTCCCGGATTTCTAGATTAAGTTCCATCAGTTTTGAGTTGGCTTCTGACATGTCTTGATTAGAGCCTACTACTGCAAAGCTACCAGTCTGACCCAGAGTCTGATGACGGAAATATATATGCATCAGTGTTTGGATTGGGTTGTCTTCGGAACTTCCAAATATGTCATTTGGCCAAACAGACCTGTAAGCACATAATTAAAATATTTAGTATTCTAGTGTCTTTTTAAGAATGCCATTTAGTCAAGAAAACTAATTTTCTTTTTAAAGAAGGCTTATACATGAGTGATCAACATAAGGAAAAAAAAGAGGGGTCAAAGAGTTCTGTAAGGTGGCAGTCCCATGGTTATTAACAAGGTAATTTTCTAAAAGGTTCGTAGTTATTGTTAAAGGATACAAAGAGTTTCTTTAACAATAGGATCAGAACTACCGTTTTTAAAATGTTAAACTGCATGAAAGAGAAAGGAAACAAAAACAGATCAGTTGTCCTTTTCAATGACTACATCCAGAAGGAGCTGAAAAAAAACCTGGAGCCAAGCCAATCTTTAAATTAAAAATGTCCATTAGCAAGCTGTACAAGTGCATCCCTGAAAGCATAATCTTTTACATCATTTCATATTATACCTGAAAGCCTTGACTTGTACAACAGCTGACAGAAACTCCTTGCTTCTCAAGGTTTCAATGAGAGAATGAATGGCCGTCTCTGTGTTAGCTTGGGAAGTCTCTGGGATTTCAATTTCTTCATTACCACTGTCTGAGGCAGATTCAGCCTCCTTCAGACAGCTCTCCAGCTGAGCAAGTTCTTCTGACATGTTTATAACCTAAAACAGACAAGGGCTGAGTTTCTGTGGATTAAAAACTCTGGTCAACTAGGTTAACTGTTGGGAGAGATATGCCTTGCACTTCCTCTACCCTCAAGAGAAGTGTACAAGAGGATGCCTAGGACCAGGATGCCATCTGTGTCACCTGGCCCAAACACTTACGTATTTGCATGATTAAATAGCCCAAGTATGTACAATGAGTACTTGATCAAACCATCATCAGTTCCTCTTAAGTTTTCTGGAATGCTTTTCAGAAAAATATAACCCTAAATAGTTGGGAAGCTACACACTACCTATCTGTGGCCTTTTATTAACTGAAATAATTGGACTCTCTTGGAAGAATAACACTAAAATTATGTCATTACATGTAAACAAAACCCGAGTATGGAGAAACTAAGGTGGAAAATGCGTGCAAGCAGTGGTGATCCAACAATATGGTGTGGCTCTGCCAGCATTCTTTACTGTAGGACTGTTCCTGCCTTAGCGCTTGCATGTACTCTGCCCAGGGCCCAAACAGAAAGCAAAACCAACCTAGTAACTAGCTCCTCATGCTGTTCCTCTAAGTTAAAGGAATAACAATGCAAAAAACCTCACAGATCACTAATAAGACACTAGGCCTTTAGTATGAACACATTTTAAAGAGTGAAATGAGGACTTGGACAGCAAATAAGGGAGATATGCATGGCAGTTACCATTACTTCAAATTGCCTGCTCCTCCTGAAATGCCCAGTTATGCTTTCAGCAGCGGAAACAGTTTAACTAGAAGACAGCTGGCCATATCAACAATATCCTCATTCCAGTCTCTACAAAGCAGCAAAGTACCTGGTCAAGTGAGAGATGTGCAGCATTTTGCCCCTCATTTCTCCCATAACTCCCAATCTACTGGGTAGAAAGATAAAGGAGCAACATTTAAACTTTGTTTTTCCTCCTGCTGCCCCAGGCAAGACCAAGTTGAAACTCCCCATTACCTTAATTTTTTTTTGTTGTTGTTGTTACAGAGAAGAATTTTCAAAAGCCACAAAAAAAAATCACAGATACTAGAGTGTGTCATTAGTTACAGACTGCCCAAAAACATTCTGACTGTCCTTTAAGACATGATCAGTCATAAAGGATCATGCACCAACAGTGCACAGCTGGCACCTCAAGAATGAAAACATTTTGGAGTGCAGCACACTAAGTTAAAAGCATGTATGTATATCTGCATAATGGATTCAAAAGGGAAAGGGGAGGCTGGGATTTAACAAGAAATGCTTGCTGTTCCTGACATGCCCAGCTGTCCTTTCAGCATCAGCAGTTAAATGATCCTTCAGTCTCTCTAAATTCATCTCCTTATGAAAAACAGTGGCTATTTAAAAAAAACATGCAACTAATTTTGATTTTTTTTTAATCTCCAACTTGAGATACCTGCCTTACGTGTAGTTGTGTTGAGGGCATTACCAGTTTCTGGACATAAAAGGTGGCCTATATTGATAGTATATAGTCCTAAGGCTGAATTGTGTTTTGCTAATGGCTGATATTATTTGTAACATTCACTGCAAACTGATTATATAACCATGTACATATTTGAAAACACAGGGGGTGGCACTAAGGGGCTTCTTAACAAAACTTTCTTGATTGGCGCTGAAGTACCTCATTTACAGCTTGATTAGATTACACCAACAGTGCTGCTGAAATATTTTAAATCCTTGAGTCTTAAGATCATTTGATTCCCTGCATTCCTGGTTCAGTAAAAAGACTAAGTGGTACAAGAATCAACAAAGACATACTAAAATGACTAAAAAAATAATTACAAGTTCTAAATTAAACCTTTTGTTTCTTGGCTGCAAATCAGTTTGTTACGCACCTCTGTTTTCAAAAAGGATGTCCCACTGCTTAAAAACATTATGAAACTATGTATTTTTAAATGGATGTCATTTTAGAACATCAGGTAGCTAAACAGTGCAATTTTCTTTACCTCTGCCTCTTTTTGGATTGTGTTCACGTGATTGATAAGTTTGCAATAGGCTTGGAAGAGAAGCAGCAACTGGAAATGCAACTTGTATAACCTCCGGCATAATTCCAGCTCCTGTAAGTGTAAAGAGCAACATTATTTTAAACTGAGGGGTTCTTAACCTACTACACATGAGATACAGGCAATAAATTGTAGGCAGCTTGTTCAGCATAGAATTTGAAATATTAAAATAGTTATTTGCTTACTGCAAGGGGCAAAAACGTCTAGAAGATTTACAAGCTAAATGTATTAAGAAGCTGATGAAAGGCAGATGAAAGCTGCATTCAGGACTAGATTTGTAATTAGAAATGAAGTAGTATATATTTTGCAGGTTAAAGGTATAACTTTTAAGAACAATCACATTTCCAACAAGAAAACAAAAAGTAATTCAAATGACATTTGAAAAAAATGTTATGTTCCAGCCCAAAAAAGTTATTTTTATTTATTTTGGGTCCTGTCAGTTTAAACTCCAGCCTGATGCCAAACAAACAATTGGGCTGATGAGCCTAGAATCTTTTCCCTCTTAATACATCATATACCTTGGTGCTTAGATTGTAATTCCATGATAGAAGAGGAGGAAACTAATATAATCCTGTTAAGAATAGTGTTTCCTTTATGATAGCTAGTTATGATTTTAAGAAATAGATATTCGTATTGGAATGAAACAGCAATATTAACTTGCACATTGTTTTATTTGATTATTATGTATTTAACACACTAGTCAAAGAGGAGGCAATGTTAATATTGCTTTAGATTTAGACAAAAAAGCTAATAGGGTCATCTGCTATTAACTTGTATTACTACAGCATCCTATTATGTACAAAGAACCAACAGTTTACAGGTTAGGAGTATACAAAACTGAAGCACTTTTAGAGTAGTCTATGACAAGACACTGCTATGTCACAAATGGACAAGAGACAAATGACCAATTTGTTGACTAGCATGCTTAAATATTTAATAAAGCAAGAACCATCACTTACTGCTAGAACTTCCATTTGCTAAGCAAGAAGGTGAGCAGGTCACAAAAATACAAAGGAAGAAAAAGATCAAGAATTAGTATAGGAAGTAATTTTGATTAGGTAATAGATGTCCCAGGTAAACTGGAAGAAAACAGGCATCTACCATTCTCAAAAAGTACTCTGACAATGTGGAGAGACAACACAATTACTTTAGAGAGTACTCAATTTTCTCCTGGAGCAAAAGTTAGAGAGGACACAATGCACAGCATTTACTCTGCAGAGACTGTTGTTCTCAAGCATGAAGTTATTTCTGAGAAAGTCAGAATAAATTTACTCCAGAGAAAGTTATTGCAGTATACATTTCATGCATCCACTACCATCGTTGATTTTTGAAGTATTCATTTGTTCAGTGCAAACCAGTTCTACCCCTACCAGGAGCTATAATGGTGCCTACTTAAGGCAGTCGGATGGTGCCTACTTAAGGCATGTCTGCTCCTTACAGTAGAGCAAAATCTGAGGTAAATGACTCCAGAGTAAATAAACTGTGTACTTGCAACCTGCATAGGCAAAATATTAAGCTGAATTCAAAGTATAATTATTAGGCACTCACTCATATAGCTGACAAAAGGTAACTTTCACCCTGCTTTCCTACCGCATTAGCAAAAAAACACTTCAAGTAACAACCCCCCCTTAACCCACACTACAGAAAGGGCCTGAGGCATAGATATATACATATTTAAATAAACTTCAAAACAAAGGCAAGTTGATATAAATATCTGACAACTGCCTTTTTCTGAATTCATACTTTTCAATTTGAAATTGAGGGAGTTCTCATTAATTTAGGGGATTCCATTGATTTGGATTTTGAGTCTACTCAGGAAATCCTTGTCTTTGAATGTGTATCTAAGACCTTTAAAATACTTCAGTGCAAAATTTCTCTCAGATTTTGCATAAGATATTTTAGGAACGGTTGGTGGGGAGGGGGGAGTACAGAGAGTCAGAAAAGCCTTTTAGAAACCAAATTCCTTGGGACAACGCCTGCTTTTACTTGTTTGTACAGTGGTGGCCCTTAACATTAACATATTGGTGGCACTTAACATTAAGAAATTAGAAGCATATATGTGATGGCACAATCAGAGTATTCCACCAGACAAAAGCAGTTATACCTTATTATTAACATAATTACAGAATGTATCTATGAAGATTATTCTGTAGTTGATACAGACTATCATGTAACAGTTCAGCATATAAAAAGTAACTAGAGATACAGAGTGCATTTCCAGGAGACTAATCCCAGATCCTGAACTACCAAAGTCAATGGGAGTTTTCACACTGACTTCATTGAGCACAGGATCAAGCCCTTAGTAACCTGCAAAGAAGAGTTAATGTCATTAACTTCAGACAGTTAAGTCTCAGCACATGCCAAGCAGGATCTGTTATTACTATTATAAGGCAAAGATATAAGAAAAAGATGTCATGGATTTTTTTAAAGGATGGACAATTTTCTGAAAATTCAGATGAAATTTTACTGAAATAATGCACTGTTGGTTTCATATTTACTCTAAAAAATAAATACTTTTAATAAAGTTGCATGTTTTTCAAATCTAATGAAAAATTGCATATTACATTTGTTGAGTTTACAGACATCAATGTGATTTTTTTTAATTGCCAGTCCTGCAGCTCAGCCTGGAATCAAATAATGCAGATAATTTTTGCTGGCTCACACATTTGCACTAACAGTAAAGATCCTGTAACTAAATGTAATTACAATTCTGTTGGTGATGCATGAACCCGAACTGAATTTAGCTCATTGCCTACTACCCGTCTTGACTGCAGAGCTAAAAATTAGCAGGAAAAATCTTATTTATGTTAGTAAACTAAGCATATCTTTTAAAGAAGCACCATTTTTTAAAATTAGAAAAGCACTTTATATTCTGTACATAAAAGTTAGTTACTTTGTCTATCAGGATTCCATTCTACTTATAAGGATTTCCAAAACAGTCCCCTTATTTTCAATAATCCACAATGGCTCCTTCAAACCAGTATTAGTTTATGTAAAAAGAAAAACCTCTGTCCTGTCAGTAACCTGTGAAGTGCATTGGATTCAAGGAAGGATTGTATTCGGCTCTCCCATTTTTGTTTCTTTAGCAATAAAGAGGGAATTGTAATACTTACCTTCAGTAATTTCCAAAAAGTTTGATGAGGTTTCTGCCATAGTGCTACCTAGCCCCTCTTTCAGCCTTCCAAACACATTATTCTAGAAAGGTCATATGTATTTATATACTTCTAATTATATTAGATTTTGGGCAGCTCTTTTGCCAGACTGTTTATCTGAGTACAGAAGCAGAATACTAATCCCTTTTCTTCTAGAAACAGCTGCATAAAAGACAGATTTACTTTGGTACTCAGATGGTATCGAGTCTGCTTATCTACTCAGTGTTATTAAGCTTTTAGAACCCAAGACTTGTTGCTCACTTTAATAAAAGGGAACCCTTTATTATTAGGCCAATATTTTATAAGAATCAAAGTTTCCAAAAGATAGTCTGATAACTGAAATGAAAAGCTCTGCAAAAGCTTCTTTAATTTCGCTGCAAATATCAAAGTTTTTTGTGCTGTATATTTTTTAATTTTAATACGCGATATAATAGGACTCAGACCTGACAATCACCTACCTGAGCATCTGTGTTAGTTCCATGAATGCCATTATCAGCACCAAATGTCCTTTTGCAGTCTTCTAGCCACTACAAAATAAACATAAGCAAAATTAACCTTGAAAGACCGAGTAAACCAAAATACATGAGAAAAGTTCCAAAGAACTGTACTGCAATAAAGATCTTCCATGTCCCCAGGCAATTTTTAATGAAATAACGTAATTAATATATGTGTATAGCCTTAGTCACATCTTGTTTAATACTAGTTGAAACTCCTTTCAGATACCCGATGCCTGGTACTTCATTTCTTACCAGGACCATCCTTCCCAACAAATTCTACTTTGTTATGTTTTGTAGCAATTAGTTCCCTCCATTGAACTTTTCATACAATTTTCAATATTCCAGAGCAGGACTACTTGATATGTTCAATGTTAAGCTACAGTTACATTTGGGAAGTAAGGTGGGGAGGCAAAATGGTAGAGGAAAGAGGAAATCCTTTTGATTAAATATGATACAGTATTTTTTTCTTCTACTCTGTTCCAGAAAATTCCATTACAATATTATTTCTTAATTCCTTTAATGACTCAAGAGGTACACAAGCATCCCAACAGCATTTCTAACAAATTGCTGAACCAGAATCATAAAAGGAAAGGCTGGAATTTTTGTATTTTTTGAGAACTATTTTAGTGAGATTAGGAGAATTACATTACTTGTACATGTAGAATATAATAAAGGTGCTTTATTGATTTCAATAGATTAGTTATGCCTGTTCTATACATTATAAAGGGTTACTATAAAATATACAATACAAACATGAGGGACTTATCTACACTGTGCTCAGTACATTTGGGGTCCTATTGTAAAAGAAAGCAAACAGAAGTGAACAGAGAGTGACCAGAATAGTAATGAACTACGTTAAAGTGCGAATTATCCTCTAAAACACAGAACAGAATCTACACATCCAAGGAAGTATAATTTAGTTTAATGTGTGCTTTCTATCATAAGTCTCACTGGAAATCTTAAGTGACCTTTTCCTAACCTTTGACTGATGCAAGAAAGGTAAAATAAAAATGTGATTTCCCATCTGCTCAATTTAATAAAGTCTACTTAGTGAATTAACTTGGCCTGTGTGCTTATCAGGAAGAGAACTGGAATTCTCTAAACACTGTGGTGTCAGTTTCAATTAGTGATACATGGATACCAATGTACTTTTAAAATCTTGTTTTTCTTTGTATCTGACAGCACCCATCAATAATAATGGACCTCTGCATCATAGCAAATAACATCAGAAACTAGGAACCTGATATTAACCTCTCACACCTGCCCTTGTTTTGACATTTTTTATATTTTAAAGAGAAAAACAATTTGGGGAAAAAAAGTTTTAAGCTCTTTAAGTTTTCCATGACACACCAAGCTCTATTTTCTGTTATTTCTATTTCTTTGAGTCAGCGTTTTTCCCCCCTGATATAAATATGAATACAGTGAAAGATTTGATGTGCAGCAACAGAACAGCCACTAATTCACAATGCATTTATATATTGCCTCAGTCCTGCTGAGCCCAGGACAGACACTAATAATCAAGCCCTGCTCATTTGCTTTTGCTCCGTGTATATCCAAGCCCAACAATTAAGTAGAGAATATAGTTATGGGGGTCCTAGACAAAGAGCCGAAGGGCGGTGCTGGGGTAAGTGTTCAGGACCTGCAGACCTATCTTACTTTGCCTATTTGATAGACTGAGGTCTGTACAAACAGAAGGGAGTGAAGTTTGTTACTTGGTGGCTGTCCTAGGCTTGAGAGGAAAGCAGTATAGATATTTCTTGGCCCTTACCACAGGTTCAGTAATACAAAGGAGACAGAGTTCTACTTAGGGAATAGATGAGGGTTCTCTGACCTAGAAGCATCTTCCCCAGATATGCTGGTTTTAGGTCACCTATCCAGTTTTACATGGGTCCAAAAATGGGAATACTAGATAGCGTTTCTGCCTGCACAAGACAGTATTACAGATGCTCTGACTTGCACCAGGGGCTGATTTAGCTTCAGAATAGGTGGCATACAGACCACTTTGCCTTCCCCATTTCAATTGCACTAAGTGCAAGTTCCTTGTAAAAGATAACTCCATTATCTCCTTAACTTTATGTTGCTTTGAGAGGTTAATACAGAACACCACATTTTGAAAGTCAAGTGCAATCCACATTTTTAGGACTGATTTTGAAGACAAGTTACCAGTTAAAGTTATGCTTTTAAAAGTTAATCATGTGTGCTAAAAGTTTAGAGATTGGGGGGGGGGGGGATGACACAGAAATCCAATAAACAAACAATACACCATGCACAAGATGCAGTATTATCAGATAAATGCAATTAAAATATAGCCAACAAATTTATTTTGCCCCTTTTCTAATTTGTTTCCAATCAGAGGAGTGTTGTTTCAGTAGGTTTTTAACTGGCTTTCAGACTGATATTACTACATTGTATCATCAGGGAACAGGACTTGATGCAGGAGGTCACTTCCTGCCTTGTATCCTATGTTTATTTCATTTGTTTCATTCAGTTGTCTTGTGTTGGATGTTTCCATATCAATGGGTTTCAGCCTTTGAGGATTCCTTAGCCTACTAGAACTGTATAATATACAAAGCTCAGAAAATGAAAAATGAGCAAATACAAGACATTTTAAAATACTTTTGTAAAGTTGTAAAAGTAAAAAAAAGGTCAAACGAAGCTTTGGGAGAAAATTAGCCAGCATTTCTAAATTAATATTTAAACCAACTAGGAATGACAAAAGCTTAATCATCAAAATAATGTGTTTTTTCCTTCCTTTCTAGATGCAAGTGATTAAATCAAAATTGCCCAAGGCTCTCAGTTGTTTCAGAACAATTCCTTTGACCTAGTGAAACATTTGTCCTGCCCTAATCACGCTCAAGTACTGTAGTAAAGGACAGGCTGAAAACAGTAACAGGTCCTTGGGCAGTCTTTTGACAGAATCACTAGAGAAAACATGTTGTGTGCTCCTACTGTGCTATACAAAGGCCATAAGTTCCTATCCATCAGATTCCTTTATACAAAAACAAAATGCAGACAACCCCATGAGAATTTATTTTAATATCGGCAAAGAAAAATAGAACAAAAATAAAAGTCCAAAAGCCTACTTGAAAATGGACCATGCATTTATAGCCAGAAAAGCAATTAATTTAAAATTAATACCTTACAATAAGGAATTTTTAAAAAGATATACGAGATGCAATTTCTAGGAGAGACCAAGTCGAACAATACCATTTTGTACAGCCATAGTTTATGGTATAAATGCATCTGGATTAAAGTCTTTGTTCTACCTCATATCTCCAGTGTACCTTTGGGCAAATTATTTAGCCCCCCTGGTTGGTTGCAGATATGGGGGGAAAAATTAAAACAAAAAACGATGCTACACTTAAAAACTCAGCACACTGCTGCAGCGCATGCCCAGGAGAGGCACTGTTTTGGTTGGACCTAGCTTTCCCAACAGCTATATCAATTGGGCACTTCAGTGGGGCTTTTTTGGTGCTTTTATCTAATAGCTAATTGAAACAGCTGAAGCACCCGATTTATCTAAGCTAAAGAGCTGGGTCAAGGTAATGCACTCCAGCTTCCAGTAAAGAGTCCCCCCCAACATGGGGTTCTCCCCTCATCCCCTATGCCTAACTCCTCTGTCTGCCGAATGAGAACAACAGCACTTCCTCAAATATTTCTGTTGTTTTACATGGCATGTGAAATTATGTGTGTGACACTCAGATACCATGGTAATATAAATACAGTATGAATCCCAAAAATGAGATTTTAATTGAATTGGAATATGTAGTCACTGTCAGGTACTTACATATATGTATGTGCTCCTAATAATCTAATTCTATTTAGAATTTGTTAAGTTTTAAAAATGGAAATACAACACATTTCATTTAAGTTTTAACTTCTCTTTCTTAGACTAAAGAGTATTATAGTTTTTGTTCAGATTACTGTAACTCGCTAGTGGTCAAACAGTGGTTTAGGAGCTTAAATTGCATCTACTGAAGAAAGACTGGTAAATAAACACCTTTTCTCCTCTCCACTTATATTTTCTCTCTGATTTTTTTTCCAGTTCTTATTTATTTTAAGAAATGATTTAAGAGCAGACTATTACTTGTGCTGGGGTAGATTACTTATTCAGGAGCATGCTCATCTTGAAGTCTGCATTTCCCGCACCTCTCAGTTGTGTCAAAAGTTTGGTTTATAGCTAGAAGGGCTAGCTTGTATAACTTTTCCAATAAACCCACTTCCATTTCCTTTCTTAAGCATATGCTTGAAAAATATGAGGCCAATTTAAAACTCACCTCCATGAAAGTTTACTACTTACTATGGTTGAAAATTATTCCTAATATTGCTGTAACTGAATAAGATGATGGTGAAAAAACCTCTTTTATTTTACTTTGTGCATCTGCAATAGCATTTTGGATCTGATCCAACTCTTATTGAAAAATCAGTGTCAGACTTTGCTGACTCCAGAAAAAGCCAGCTTGGGCCTTCTGAATGTAGTCCTTTTCATTATGTCCTGTGTATGTTAACTTTTCTTGAATTGTAAAGACTTTTATTAACATTTCACAGGAGACAAGAACTCTTATTACAATTATTGACAGATTTTTAAAAATATAAACCAACGATTTACATAATTCTCCTAGAAAGTAAGGTTCAAACTGACCAAGTCTCTCCTCAAGTTTAGACTGATCAAGTCCCATTAAGGATAAATGTATTTTATTCTGGAAACTGAATGACTTGAGATTCCATCAATAAAAAATGTGTAAAAACATAAGCACTATTTCATAAAATATTTCAAAGAGGTATTAAAACCTATTACATTTTTCAAGCACTTCAAAAGCTTGATGCTTACCATTCAAACTGATGCCTTATGTGAATCTATCAGAGAAATATCAAAACAGTGACCTCACACCATTTATGTTTCCAAACAGAAGAGCAAACCAAACAAATTTAAAGCCAACAAGTCTAATTCATGCCTGAGGATATGCCAGGGTCTGCAGGTTCTCAGCAATGTTTACTTGAAACCGACTTATAAATTGTACTTCTCTTCGACAGTTTGTAAAAGGCTTCTGTAGAACCCCAGGAGCCTTTTCAAAATGCCTTCCCTCAGTGGACCTTTTAGATGATACTGAAGGCATCAAATCTAGAGGTGTAGCAGGGTAGCTCTGCACCCAGGGCAGCCATGATGCATGGGGCAGCCCTGGCTGCTGCAGAGCTGACGGCAGCAGCTATTTTTGCACACCACCCCCTCAGTTATGCTGTTACCACATTCCTTTTCCATGGTAAATTTCTCATCTAGTGCAACAATCCTTACACAGGTTTGTACAAATTATAGCTCTCTTCATATCTGCAAGGGTGAATCTAGAGCCATGTTTTCTTTCATTTCCTGAAAGAGATGTCTTTTTTTTTATTTTTTTTTATTTCCTGAAGTTTGTATATTCCAGGAGTCAGTTACGTATCACTGGTTCACAAAAGCAAATACTCAGCTTGCTGAAAGTTCAGTCTTGAATCATTGTGCCCTTTGCAAAAAGTCTAGACATTAACATATACCTTAAAGAACAGAAACTATATCATCATAATGTTTAAATGTCATCTTATTTTAATCTCAACTGACAGGCAAAAAAAACAGTACTTCCATAAAGAGAAAAAACAACCAAAAATCTAAAAAAAAAAAAAAAAATTTCTCCCTTTGACTATTCAATCAATTTAAACATTTCTGTTAAATGGCAAGAGTAAAAATAAGTGCAACCAACAGACCTACAGCAGGGGTAGGTAACCCCAAACACGGGTGCCAGAAAGTGGCGCACACAGCTGTTTCACCTGGTATGTGTTCTTTGGGGTGGATGGCAGGGAAGGGATTGAGGCTGTGCTGCCACAATGAGGATCAGGCCACTTGCAGCTCCCCCTCACTGTCCACCTACAGCATAAAGTAGCTGATAAAATAAAGGGGACTTACCTGCTCTGCTGCCTCTCTTTTGGTATTATAGGTATCCAGATGTTCTTGGAGCTCTAGAACATTGAACTTCAATGTTTCTAGTAAACCACAGGACATCAGCTGAAACAAATTTTTTTCCCATAAGTAAATAAATAAAACACTTATTAAATAATTAGACCTCTTTTGGGAAATCACATAAAGCTAGCTGTCCACACACTGGTAATACCTCTAATTATAACTTAAAAAAATATTTGCAGTTAGATCAGCTAAGGCAGAGTGCCATTCAGAACCTGCAAATTAAATGGGGCTGTGCCAAGTCAGCGCTTGGGAGAGACTTCAAATGGAGCATCTAGATCAGTGATTCTCAATCAGGGTGTTATTCTGTTCTAAGCTCTGTTGTGGTTTTTCCAGAGTTATTTGCAACAGAACAATAGTTCTACTATTTTTCAGTAGTCAAGAAACAAGTGAAAACTGAGAGCTACCGTATTCCACGGAGTGGCTTGAGTCTAGGAAGGTTGAGAATCACTGATCTAGGTGCTACAGGAAATGGTGTTTCTGAGTCAAGCTTTGGGACTCCTCCCTTTAAAAGTTAGGTCATGTATGTGCAAAACAGCCTATAGCGAGGGGCAGGCAAAACACTGCCCATGGGCTGGATCTGGCCCACCAGGCCATTCTATCTTGTCTGCAGGGCCCCTAAAAAAATTAGAAAATTAATATGCATTTGCCCCTGGCTGCCTGTCAAAGATGACAGGAGCCCAGAGCAGGGCCCAGAGCAGGATAGCAGGAGTGTGGAACCGGGCTGCCAGGGGCTCTATGGAGCTGGGCTGCACTGCTCAAGCAGGGAGAGGAGGGAGCCAGCTCAGCTCCATAGAGCTCCTGGCAGCCCCGTCCCATGATCCTGCAGCCCCACTCTGGGCCCCACTCGCACTAGCCCCAGTGCACTGGTGCAGGCTCCATGCTCCTGCCCGGCAGCCGCTGTGCTCTGCATACCCGCTCGCTGCCTCTTCCCCCTGCCTGCCGCTGCCCTTTCCTTGGTCCCCACCCCGCGCCACTCCGGCACCACGTGGTTCCCAGCTGCAGTGCTGAGACTGCAACAGCAGCTGGGATGCAGTGCTTGAGCAGCCAGGAGGAGAGGGGATGGCATGGGTGACTGGTGCCTCCTGAGTCAGGGGGGCACTTGCCCCCACAGCAGACAGTTAGCGACCCAGGGCAGGGGTGTCCCGCTGTACCCAATCCCACCAACCCACAATTGGCAGCAGCATGCCGCTGGCACTTCCAGGTCAGCAGGATCGGCTGCACGGGAATCGCTTCTCCTGGCGCACTCTTTGGCCGGCGCTCTCAGGGGGGACACCAGTGCTCTTGCCTGCCCCCTCCATTGCCTGGGAACACTGCAGTAATGGGGTGCACCAGCGCTCTCAGGGGGTGCATGTGCACCCGCATGCACCCTCGATGTATTGCCAGTGGGGGATGAGGAAGTGGCAGGAGAAGGGCAGCAGTGGCAGACAGAGGCAAGTGGCAGCGAGCAGGAACATGGGGCCTGCACCAGTGACCCAAGGTCAAGAGTAGCAGGATCACAGAGCCCAGTCTTGCAGGAGCACTGGCAGGGTCTCTGCCTGCTGTGAGGGGGGAAGGAGGGGGGGGGGCAGGCTGTGGGCACACTCTCTCCCTCCACCCAAGCTACATCCCTCCCCAGCCATACTCCCCCACACATTCACAGCCCCCTACAAAGCCCACACACACCCCCTCCCCCCACATACCCACAAACCTATACCCAGTCTCCCACCCATACCACCCCCCCACAATATACAAGAGTAAAACTTTTTTTTAAGGTATTATACTATCACCTCTATGTACACAACACAAATGCATGTAAATCAGGACAAAAATATTTTTTGAAATGAAATTAATGTTGTAGTACATGTTTGATTGTTAGAATATAATTTGGTATTTTTCTGGTTCAGAGAAGCAAAACCCCTTGATGAAAGGAGTACTTCCAGGGGCAAAGGGAGGGACTTCTGGTGGCAAAGGTCAGGTGTTAGAGGGTGGGATTTCCGGTCCCAAGGTGGCGACCAGGGGGTGGGGCACCTGCCAAGGGGCAGGGCTACCCATATGGCCTTCGACAGCTTGCCAAAACTCAGTAAGCAGCCCTCCACCAGAAATAATTGCCCACCTGTGGCCTATAGTAAAGGGCAGTGCGTTTACAGGGTACATACAGCTGCAGCCAACAGCTGCCCAGAACTACAGATGTAATTCAAGGGTTTGCTGTGGCCTTTATTTTAAAGGATGCTGGTTCTCTAATCACATTTAATGGACCACTGATGTACTTCAGCTGTGCTGAGTGGCAGCCATAGAAGTAAAAGCTGCAGGCATCAACTGAGTGGCTCCTCTTTATTTGGCAACCCACTGCAAATTAAATGTCTTCAAATGATCCCAATAAAAAAAAATCTGCGTTCTACTGTCCTGCTCTTAAACATGTAAGAAAAAGCAGCAAACAGAAAAAGAACTGAGAGCCTTTGAGTTGTGCTTTCCACATATATTTCACACTTGGGGTGCATGTTCTTGAAATGAGAATTTTTGGGGGCTATACATGTGTCATAAGTATCCTCAGCGCCCTATTGAGGGTATAAAGGGAACAGGGGGCCCAATGAAAAATCCAAATATTAAAGGACTCTGACATAGCAGGGAAGGGGATGAGTCCTAGAATATAGACAGACAGCTCAATTCAAAGAAGCAGTTGCCAGACATTTACTATTCTTTTAAGTGCTTGTCCATGTATAGTCCCTCTCTGTGATCAATAAGGAATTGCCCAGTGGGATGGAAGTGCATGGCCAGAGTCTGTCTAAATAAAGACGGTATCATCACTGCATGAAAACAAGCATCAGATCTTGATGCTTGAGACAGGGAATAGTGCTTCATAACAGTATGAAGTTAATCCCAAATCACTGCTCAGCACATTTCTGAGATGGATAATGCCTCTCAGGAAGCACAGATGGTGCTTGAGCCCTGGTCAGCTCCAAAGGCTCTAAATTAGATAGTTCATAACAGAAGTTAAGGCAACTGGACACCTACTTTCATAATCTCTGGCTCGAAATATCTTACACCTTGAACTCATCTGCAAATACTACAGAGAAACCTGGAGTGACTCTACAGACAGGGAAGTCCTATGTATACAGTAAAACAATGCTCTTGGGACATTCAGATCATGTAATTTAGCCTCCCACTGACTGGTATATAGTTTGAGAGGAAAAAAGTGTTAAATATTATATCTGTTTCAAACATAAATCTTGGGAAAGAAACAGGTATACACTAAGGATGACTTTATCCTTTTGGAATCTTTATAGGGAAGGCCTAGCCTTAAGGGCGTTATACATGTGCTCTGGGAGTTGGGGGGAGGGGGGATGCTTTAATCAGAGCCACTAATTAAAGTGCCTGGAGCATCTTGTGCATCAGCGTCCCTGCACTTAAAAATCGTGGTAGGGTCGATTTAACTAAAGCTTATTTAGTTAAAGTGCCCCCGCTGCCATTTTTAAGGATTGTGGAGTCTGCTGGACCATGGTCATTACCACACTCTAGGAGACTCGACTAAATCGAGCCTGCTCCAGTGTGCTGTAATTACCCAGATTGTTACCCATGGCACCCAATGTGTCTGTATTTCCCCTATGGCTGGTATAGTTGCTACTAAAATGGTGTGCACACAAACACACGTGTGCAAAAATGTTTACAGAATGATTTTCCATCTGTCAAGACAGATACTGTAGCCTTCTATATTACAGCCAGGGGGAGAAAGGTGGTCCCAATAGGTGGCTGAGCTACTCTGTCCATCATGCCTTCTGAGGGCATGAAGAATGGAATCTATATGGACAGTCACACAAAGATGGCAATGTTTGTGTTCAGGAATGAGATTGTTTGCATACTGATACAGTTATGTCTGCAAATTTCCCAGTGTAAAAAAGCCTTAAGGTACAAGACTATAAATATGAGGTTTTCAATTATGGATGCATTATTTAGCTTTCCAAATGAGTGAAACCTTAATAAGAACAGTGAATTCAATTAACTGATGTATAATAACTATAGGCTAGTCTATTGTTTATACTTAACACACAAAATTTATTTAGAAGAAAATATATTTCACAATTTTGTGTAGTCAGAAAGGGATATAGTTTCCAACTGAATTCATAGTTACGTACTATGTTTTAATATTCTTTTGGTTTTATTTAAAAAATTGATTTTCTTTTTTAACCCCAAAAAGCTACCTACTACTAGAATTCATGATAAGGGGAAAGGGAAAAAGGCAGATGTGTCAGCACCTCTAAAAATCTTTCACAAAAATGTAATATTCTGTAATTTACAGAAAGAATAATAAATTGACAGATATTTCAATCTAGCATTGAATAACTGAGTGCATGTAAAATTTTACCGTTTCAGCGTCCACAAAGACCGTTGGACATTCTGAACAAATCATCATCATCACTTCTAATGAACTTCTAAATTTTGTTCCAATGCGCTGTAGACCGTCACCAAGAAAACTTACTGAATCATTTGTTATAGCTACAAACTTTCTTTGAATCGTCTGGAATAATGAAAAACAGAAAAAAATATTTTGCATTATTATTTCTTTTTTCAGATTAAGGTAACTATTTTCCTTATTCTGACGAAGAATATATATATATGTAAACTATTCTTATCATCACATCACTTTTGCTATTAACATATTACAACACAAAATATCAACTGGCAAAAGAGGAAAAAAACAGTAAAAGGAAGGAAACTGTTCTCAAGACTATGATATTGTATTATACCTCAAGCCTTTATTTAGAGATGAATTGTACCAAGTAGTGAATTCTGACATGTCATACTCCATAAGAATTAATATACTCTTTATTTCCGCACACATAGCCACAAATTCAATATATATCTTTAGGAAAAAGTTACTTTAGAAAACTTTTTTCATTATTGTTTTTAGCAAAATATAGCCTGTATCTTATAAGCTGTAGGGGGTATCTTAGTTACTATACGCAAACTCCTATGTAAAGAGTGTGAGTGCTGTATATTTGAAAGTTTCCAAATGGCTTTTGTCTAGGCATACTGATATTTAAAAACAGGCCATAAGGATGATTTGGAGAATTACAGACCAGTAAACCTTGTATCTGTTGCTGGCAAATTAGTCAAAATGATAATGGAAAACAGAATAACCTTGAAAATCATGAAAAGCCAGAATCTAACCCTGAGAGATTCTGTAGATAAGCTGTGGATAAAATGGAGTTAGTTGGTATTCATTTATTTCCAAAGGGTCTTTGAGAAGAATGTGCGAGAGAGGCTATTAAAGAAGTTGAAGGATCACAAGATGAGAAAGTATTATCAGAGATCAAAAACTGGCTAACAAAAAAAGCAAAAAGTAAGACTAGACAGTCATTTTTCATCAAGGAATAAGATCAGCAGTGACAGGTCAAGGTTCTCTAGTAGATCTTCTGTTTTATATATTTATTCATGATCAAGGAGTTGGGGGAAATAGCGAGGTAGCAAAATCTGCAGGTGACAGTGTTATTTACTTTACTCAGGAGCAAAGAAGAAATTAATGACCTTTAAGAAGATCTACACATGCTAGGTGAATTCAACAAGTTAATGTAATGTGAATACATGTGAAGTAACGCATATTGAAAGCAGAAATATGAGCTACTCAGGGTTCTAAATTAACTCAGAAATGATATGGATGGCATAGTATTCGATGAAATCTTCTTAGAAGGAAATATTTTTCACATAATATATGATTAAACTGTTTAACATGATACCCAGATCACTTTTAAGTTGATACAGTAAATTTAAGCTTGAAGTCACAAAAATTTGTTAAGGACAAGGATTTAAGAAAACTTCAAAAACAGATAGGGAGTTTATATTCATATCAGTAATATCTAGAGTTATAATTGCAAGAAACATTTTGGAAGGTGCATTAAAATTTAGTGTTTCCAGTTTTAGGCCAATTTCAAAATATTAGAGACTTTACCAAGCCCTACGTGGATGATGGATTGTTTCACATATGCCTACTATGGGGCTCCTGCACTTTTCTCTAAAGCATGGCATCAAAAAGATGACCCACAGTGCTGCCAACTGCATGCAGCACGCACCAGTACTGGTCCCACATGCTGCGTGCAGTATGCACAGCCTGTCTAGCATAGGCTGCAGACGGCACAGGGCTGGTTTGGGGTGCTTGCTCACGCTGGACAGATCCTGTGAGGATCTGGATCTGGGGCCAGATCAGCCCACAGTTGTGCTGTATGTGCCAGATCCATTGTATAGGGATGATCTGGTGTGAGTGGCACATGCAGTGTATGCTCCAGACCAACCTAGTATGCTGTGTCAGGCTACAGTCAATGCACGCTGCATTTAGCACACAAAGGCCAAGTTGGTACTCACGCTGTATTTGCCCTATGCGCTAGAACTGAGGCCAGTCTGGATTGGGCCCTAGACCAGTTCTGCATGCCAGCATGGCTGGTCTGGTGTGGGTACCATACATGGCATGTGCTAAATGCCACATGGAGGTCCAGGGCTAATGAGCATACTGCAAGCAGCACATGTGGCCAGTCCAGGCCTTGCATTGCATGTGGGCTGGAACCAGCATGTGGGAACAGGAATGGTCTGTGGGCCCAATCCAGCCCACAGTCCAGCTCTATGCCCATCATCTGGCCTGTGGGGCTGGATGCGTTTGACATCCCTGCTCCAAAGCATTACTTTTCAACAAATGGACTGTGGAGATGTTATGTATGGGCTGCAAGGGTAGCTTTGCGGGGAGCTGCTACCATCCTACTAAGTGTTCCCAGCTCCAGGCTCCTCTGTATGTGTTACATCTAGGATGAGAAACAGTGCAGCTGCTTCAGTTCAGTCAAGGATGAAATTTATTAGCCCGAGCACAAGCCTCACACAAACATGGGTACACTGCTGTTCACAAGCTAGTGCCTTCAAAGGAAGGCCTGAAGTACGCCTGGCAAGTTAACCACAAGGGAAACTGGCTGCTAGGCTGGGGAACTGCAATATGAGAATATCAGCTGTGGGCTCAGAAAGGTTGAAAATCATTGCTCTGAAGTATCTGACAGGAGCCTGGACTACACGAACCTTTAGCCAGATCCAGTGAGTCAGTTTCTACATCTTTTGTATTCTTTTTATAAAAGCCCTGAAACACCATAGAAAACAAATACATTAGCAAATCATAAATGTAGCAAAATCAAACACATGCAACTTCAGAAATGTCAGGATCAAGGCTGCTTGTACAACCTTAATTAATTTTCCTGGCACCTTTGCATTTTGATGAAGACCCCCTGTACTCTACAACATAACAGCCATTAAATTCCAGAGCAGCTATTGCTCAGGTTGGCAGCAGGAAACCTTCATTTTTGCTGCGATGTTAATTAGGATAGTTAGCTGATTTCTCAGAATACACTAATGAATCCTTTCTCTAGATCTGCAAGGTCACTATAAAAAACAGCACTCAGCTGCTGAAGAGTGGAGTCACACTGCTACTGCAAAGCTGCTCCACATGTACTAGTCACTGCAAGTGGGGCAGAGTCGCACAAGGTTTAATGGACCCAAACTACAATTCAGTCTTGGGTGGAATGGAGATTTAGCAGGAGTCTGGACTGTGATGTCCACCAGGACATACACCTTCACTGCTAACCAAAGGTAGTCCAACAAGCCTTGCTTTCTGTTTCGCCCTTTCATGAGCAGCCAGGGAAGAGAAATTGCTGCTTATGCCATGCATTTCCCAGAATGGTAAACGCAGCAGGAGGTCTTGGAGAAGCACAGAGAACCTGAATGGCAGAAGCCTAAGGGAAACAAAATAACAGACCTTGTGATTAATACTGATAATTCCATGCCTTTTTTCTGCTGAATTTGGTATTTTGATGATCACAGTGTATGGGGTACTGATGCAGCTTGGTTAAGTAATCGTATGCTAGTTTGTCCACCAGATTTCAGCCCCATTCACTTCACAGGATGAATGAGGTGAGCAATTCTGATTCATTAATTAGAACTGGCTTGAAAATGAAGCAAGTATGTGTAGCATCCTAAGTTCTGTGTAGAATAAAGCAGAAAAATCATAGGGAATGAGACAGAAACCTGCTGCAGGAGAAAGGATAGTTTCTTGGTCAGGGCCACTGAATGCACACCTAACTGGCGACCCACAAAGGGTTAAGTTGCAGCCCCTGGGCTCCCACTCAGCTGCCTCTCACCCCACTGCTCCAGCTGCAGAAGCAGCCAGGGTCTCTGGGCTTCCCCTCCCCCTTCCCTGAGGGTGAGGAGGTGCAGTGCAGAGCAGAGCAGCCCACAGTGCTGAGGGAGCCCACAGCTTGGGGTGCTTGAGAGGTGTGAGCGAACAGGGGCAGCAAACAGGACAGTTTGCAAGCAGCTCACTGGGAGCAAGAGGAGGAAGGGGAAAAGGAAGAGGAGCCAGGCATCAAATCCTGTTCCAGGAAGGTAAGAGGGCCAGGACTGCCTATGTATTTGGCTTGCTGAGTGTTTGTCTGGTGGGCTATATGTTTGGGCATGTTCCCTGAGCAGCGGGGAGAGCTGCTGACTAGATGATTGCTACCTGTGTCTGACAAAAGCCCTCGCAAGGGGATATAGCCAGTCCAGGCCCAGGAGTATATAAAAGGAGACTCGCATAGTGACCAGGGAATCAGCAAACAGGGGCAGCAACCAGGGCAGTTTGCACCCCACTCTTTGAAAGGGAGTATTTAAGGTATTGGTGACACATAGGGGGTGCACATGCACCCCAGGCGAAATGTGTTGCAGATGCTGCCGGCGGCACCTGTGGGCAGTCACTCCTCACCACCTCCCCCCTCACTGCTGACGGCTTCTGCAGGTGGTCCCTGATTGCCGCTGGCCACCACCACTGCCGCTGGCGTGTGTGGGGGGGGTCGCTGACCACCAGGCAGCACTCGCCACTCCCCCTCCACTGCTGCCGGCACACCACGGCTGCCCGCGGGAGCTCCCTGTTCGGCCCTCTCCTGCCGTGGCTGCTCGTGGGAGCTCCCTGCTCATCACCACCATGCCCCTACCGTGGCTGCCTGTGGGAGCTCCCCATTCACCGCCACCATGCCCCCGCCACTGCTGCCTGCAGGATCTCCCCACTCACTGCCAACACGCCCTCACCACTGCTGCCACCTGTTGGTGGTCACCGTGCCCCGCCAACCTCTGCGGGCACACGGCATTCATGCTTCAAGGTAAGTTTTTTCTTTAAGAGTAACCAATCTACATATATTTAGTGTAGGTAGCTAAAACTCACAAGTTAGATCAATACTTAAGCCCCTGGCTAACTAGAGTCCACAGTGAGAGAGTTCACTAGGCCGCTTGCCTGGAAACTCTCTCTCCTTCCTTTACTGTAAGCTTGGTGAGAGGAAGCAGGTTAGCAGGGAAAAGGAAACCTTTTGGGACCAAGGAGAAGTGAACAGGGCAGCTTACAGGGGACTTTGCTAGGGAGGGTCTGCTCGGAGACAGGGGCAGGAAGAGAGAGGAGGGAGATTAAGAGGCCGGGATAAATGGCTGGATAATATTGCAATGCCAGAGCCACTGCCAGCTCTT